CCACATATACCATCTTATATGCTCTATACAGCCCTCTACTTTAGTTCTAATTATCATTTCATTAAACTTATATGCAAAAGAAATAAAACTATGAATCTATAATTACATGGTTTTCTATCACCATTTTTATGGATAGTAGTACATTGGTAATTTACCAGTCAGTGGTTATGATGTCACTCATCAGTGAGTGATGGAAGAGTTTGTTAAAATATTTTGTTTCTTTTAGTACAATAGGGAGAATACCAACACCCAGGACAATTGTTTTATGTGCTTCTTGGACCTGTGATCTGTAACACTTATGTCTATTCTGTGCTATTATAATTGAATATTGAACTTCTTTTTTAGTTTGAGGTGTGTTAATGGCTCAGTGAAACATTCATTTCACACATTTCCCTTTTCATTATCTGAGTTTCCAGTTTTTATCTGTGGTGCCACCATTACAATACCCTAGCGTTTTATTTGCTTACTCTTTGGATAAATGAATCCTGTACTAAGCAGACTCTCTTTTATTCGTTGTCATCCGTTTTGCACTGATTCTATAACTATCCTGTCCCATTCTACTACTTTTAAGCTCTCATTCCTTTTGTCGGCTTTCCTGAAACTGTAAACTTTTGTGCAGTTTCAGAATCCACTTCAAAGCATACTACGTTATGATCACACTTCCCTGATGGCTGTATCACCCTTGCTTTCTTCACTTTATCTTTATTATTTAAAAACACTTACATTCCCTCTAGGTATTCTGGCAAACTGAGTAAGAAAGAATTTCACTTTTACCTGGTCATATCCCTGATGTTTTTTCATCATCTAGTATGGAAAATAAAAAATCTCCCAAAAGTCATAACTCATATATAGCTTATGAATTCCTTTCAAGAAATTCAAGTCCAAATCCAGTTATTCACTCTCAATTAGCATCCTATGTTAATAAAGCTGCAAAAATGACCTGTGGCAAGGACTGTCACACCTTATCAAATGACAAACATGCTTATAGAAAAAGAGGTTATACAAAGTTGTGAATTAGAAACAGATTAGTCATTTTGTGAGGAAGCCAAGCAGATGATTTTAACTTGGCTTTTCACATAAGGAATTTCTTAAGCACAGTTTTTAGTTAGAAAGGTTTTTTGAATATCTTGCATAATGTCAAATAATATATTTAAAAGGGAATGTCCTTGTTAGTTAAATCAAAGGTTCATGAGGTAAATGAGACCCACAGTGCCTTAAAAGTAAATAAACTGTCATTTTACTGTTTTCATAAATCAGCTGTATCTACTGAAAACAATACCTACTGCTAATCAATGTACTGCCTGTGCACCAGTATTCATGCCATGCAATCAAGTACTAAACTAACACTGAGATAAGTTGAGATTAAAAAAGTTTTAGGTCCTAAATGTTGTACATGTTTTTGTCATTTACAATAAGAGCACTCCCATGAAATAGGAGAACAGCCCATCACAGTTTTATCTTGTCTGAACTGGGGATTTGTGTCCATGATGCTCTTATATCAAGTCAAGGGAACTAACCACTTATTCCACAAGGCTCATTATTTTATCTTCCTTGGGATACCTGTTTTTTTCCAAGGTGATGCAGGATGACTCAGAATCTCAAGCCCAGAGATGGCAGTGATGTAATGCGTTAAGCATATGTACTGTACAACACACATGTCCCTGAGGCTGCATGTGTTGCAGAGAGTATGTTTTCTGTCATGTGAAGTAGCCCAGCTCTTCGGCTGATTAGGTCACATGCTTTTCCTTCAGAGCTGGCAGCTGGGGTCTCAGATCCCATCCAGGCCTGCCAACCCCCTGAGCGAATGGCACTGAATGGCACTACTGCAGATGTAAGTTATTTTTGCTGGCTTTTTATGTTACAATAATATTTGACATTCTTTTTTGCAATGTTTCATAGAAAATCACTAACATTTAATGGGTGGGTAATGCCAGCTAGGAGGAATTGAATTTTCCATGATGTTACATTTCATTTCACTTTAGTATATTAAAGCCATTTACAACTCTTACTGTATTCTGTCTGACAATTAAACTCCCTTAAACTGGTATCTGCAAACGTCAACAGTAAAGTTTTTCTCACAGTATTTCCAGTTTATGTGTAGTACATGGGTAATATGAGGGGAAGAAGGCTACTTTTAGGAATCCTAATCTATGTCATTTGGTTTTAATTAGGAAAATGTAGGAAATTAAGGTCAAACAAGAAAGCGGAAATAAATCAATCTTAAAACGCACAATGTATTTATTCATTTTAACATAATAAGCATTCACAACTTTTACATTATTCTTTATGAAGTTTGTAAAATGATTGTTTTACACAAGCCTGCAAGCAGACACCAGTCACACAAGCATAAAGGGGACAATTTAGACTACTAACCTGAACAGCATGTCTTTAGACTGTATCTGGAGTACCCAGAGAGGACACAGGGAAACATGTTCCAAACAGATGGTCACACAGGCCTAAGTCCAAGCCCAGGATCCAAGAGCTATGAGGCTGCAGCACTAATGACACCAGTATTTCATGACACTACCTCCTCATCAGGAGATGCTTTCCTTTATTATTATACAAAGGTCACACCCCAGGTTTACTGTATTCTGTAATTTACTGCATATTTTAAAAAATAAGAACACAAGGAAACATGAAGTGACAAAGGATTGGAAGCCATCTTTCTCACCTGGCGCCTATAGATTAATTAAATGTCTTTCTCCTGAAAGTTACCAGCTCATGACTTTCATGGCAGCAATACACCACTGTTTTTATAAAGTTACATTTTATTTTTCACTGCTCTTCCTTTTTTCACTCTTGATCATAAAGTGTACCCGGACGTCTTTGTAACATGTAGATTTTTATCAGAAAATTGAAATGGAAGATGTGCTCTGCCATTAATGGATAGTTTTGCTTATGCTGAAATTAAAAAAGAAACATACAGTATGATCTGGCTTTTCTAACTGCTTTTTCAAACCCTACCAAGACTCCTATGAGCACATACTGTATACAGTAGCTACAGCATACATACATACTGTCCAGCTATAATATAATTTCTGATGAAGATCAAATGCGTTTCAAAGATTCAAAGATCAAAGATTCAAAGATGAAGATTTGTTTTCAATGTTGTCATTGGAGGTGTAGTGCAAAAGTAGAGTAAATGCAACAGGTTTTATTGTATTGTTAATTGTTTAAGAGACACTTCGATGTTGTATGGGAGACATGGTGACACAGCAGTTAGCTTTGCTACTCTACCTTGCAGTGCTCGGACCCTGGCTTCAATTCTGGACCTGGGGTTCTAGCTTCGTGGAGTTGGGGTGTGGAGTTGGCGCGTGGAGTGGACCTGGAGTGCTAGCTGTATGTTCTCCATGTGCACCGGTTTCCGCTCACAGTACAAGGACATACTGACAGGTTAATTGGCTTCTGGGAAAATTGGCCATGGTGTGAGTGTGTGTGTCTGCGTGTGCCTTGCAATGGACTAGTGTCCCATCCAGGGTGTACCTTGCCTTTTGCCCGTTGCTTATAGCAATAGGCTCTGCCTTCCCCTACAATCCTGAATTGGATGAAACCGTTAGAAAATGGATGGGTGGATCTGTGTTACATTAAGTTGAATATAAATGCTTATACCGATCAATATTTAATGAAGGCAAACATTTTTTCATAGTGCACTCCAGGTTCATCAGCACTTAAAATCATACATGAAATAATTGTAAGGATAGCATTTATTAATATCTGAGACTACTAATTTTATAGAAGCAGACAAATTTCTGAGCAGAGTTCGTTATTGATTATTCCATAGAGGAGTGAAATATTCACCAGAATAACACACACAGTCCAGTCAAAAACCAATTGCCTTGTTGCTTGCTGTTGAACTGGTGGATGGGTGGTGGGTATAGGTTAGGGCAAGAGTGCTCTATTCCAGTCCTGGAGGGCCAAAAGGATTTAGTGATTTTCTTTAAACCTGACTCAATTACTTAGTTGAACTTTTTTTAATTGGATAGGGCAAAGATTTGTTCTTACAACTCTGGAAATATAAAAAGACCTATAAGACCTTGAATAGGTTTACAAGAGAGTATTATTAGAAGTGTAAGAACATCAGTAATATCTATAGCCATTTTTATATGAATTTGAGAAAAGAAAACATTTCATTTACTAAAAAATCAAACATTTCCATCCACCATGCATTCAGATACATTAACCATACTATCTTTTCATTCATTATTTTTTGTCACTGACTTTAAAAATCAAATTTATGACAAGTGACTACATTATGTGAAATTCTGAACAGTGTTATACCCATTTTCATGTCTATATCCCAAAATAAGTTGTTCTTCTAATTTGTAATTCTGAAGAATTTATAAATACACAAATACAGTACAGTATGTCTTAAAAATGGCAATCAAAAGCTTGTGGCAACTCATGTATGTCATAAATTAATAATAATGTTACCACCTGGCTACATGATCCCTGAACGCTTTGAAGCAAAAGCTTGCACTGAAATTAAACTAAATAATTTCTAAATTGAGTTCTGAATTGGCATTACTGCTTTATTACCGCATGTGGGATGAGAATAAAATGAGTATTCTATTAATATGAAAGAATATAAAACTATCTGGACCACCTTTTATTTTCCATTGCATTTATAATGTATTTATCATTTGCATTAACCTATTGTTTTAAATGTAATTTGTCTTGATTAAACAGATTACTCATTAGATTGTGCAAAAATGGACAATAGACAATGCAAATTGAATACTTAAAATATGGACATGACGGGAAAATTCAAATGAAATTGAAAATAAATATTCAGCATGCTTTTTGGTTTTAAAGATTCATGTTTATCATGTGCTTCACATTAATAATAACATGAGTAGTTTCAAACGAAAGGACACTTTTTGAACCTTTGAGCTTAGTTGGTTGCAGCAATATTTTGTAATATTCAGGGCATTTTGTAATTACAACTTTTTTTATTTTATTTAAATAAATTTTAAAATCATTGTTAATTTCACAAAAAGGATTCTGTAAGGAGTACCCTTTATTTTAAATACAGGCGTCGAACAGTAGTATAGTGACCACCATTTACAGGAACAATAGCAATTACACCACCTATAAATACAGGGGTGCTGTACCCCTTTTCCCGCAACAGGTGTGTTGTATCTCCCAGAAATACAAGTGTACCCACAGACCAGCACAAGACCATTAGACTTTAATTTAATTGCAGTCAGTATTTGTCTACACCATGAAAAATCACAAAAAGGTATCCACTGTGTGCACACTCAACAACAACTGAAGTTCATACGTGCTGGCAATTGAAACAAATGCCTCAAATAAAAGAAATCCAGCAGCGGTCCTTTGAACAGCAGCTCCATCTGGAGCATGTCTCGCTCGGTCAAGGCAAAGAAAGAAATGAAACTCCCCCTGGTCCTTCAATTGCCTGTAGACTCCTCATCAGTCCCATCAGTTCCAACAGTATGTTCCATTACATTCCCTGCCTAACCTCTCTAACCAGACGTTGATGGGCCTTTCTGTGCTATTTGTTGGGTCCCCACCGACTCAGCTCTTCCAGACTCTAACCAGACACACTGGTCAGGATTTATATACCCCCCTCTCCACAGAGCTGCAGGACATGAACGAGAAGATGTAATGCCCAGGCAATCAGTGGAGGTTCATTAAAAAAACTAGCTCTGTGCAGTTGACCAGGTGTAATGATGGACTGTCTGTCTCTTCTTCCTCATTTCCTCTGTGGCCCCCCTGTCCAAAGGCAGGCTCAGCCTGTTCAGCACCCCCACACAATCTACTGCATAAGGAGTGTTTAGGCAAACAGCGTGCCATTCAATCTTTGTTGGTTGTCAACACCCCTTTTCTTTTTCAAAATGAAGGTTTGGAGAGGTGTATTAAAATATTGAAAAAAGACAAAAAAAAAACCACCAACCCCTGATGGAAACACTGTCCATTAGATGCATACTTAAACTAAACATAGTCCTCCAGGCAGACCTACAGCACATCTACTTTTGTCACTCTGTGACGCATGTTTTACATGAACTTCTTAAGAAAACTATAATACACAACCTACACTTTCGTTCTATAGATGTGGAAAAACACTCAGTACCTTAGTCAAGTACATGAATGGGGACCTATTAATTACCACAAAGTGGCACAAATTGACTAATTAGAATGAAGTGCCACAGTAAGTCACCAGAAGTGTCATAAATTACAGAAAATTGCTTGGAAAATAACAGTAAGCTGTGATTAAACAATTTTGGTTATCTGTGCTGCATTATTCAGTAAATCCCTAAACAGCTGCAGTTTAGTGCTGGAAAATATCATTTGAATCAGAGACCTGTCTGGTTATTATATCGTACTATATATATATAGGCCTTAACATCGGTAAACTGGATAATGACGTGTTTCTAGGCGGATGACAGAAACCCGGAACTCGGAGGTTCATTCCAGCACTGGATCATCTTAATTACACACAGCTGTAGTCATGTGCATCTACTGTAAGTAAAACAGGTCCCTTTAATATAAAACGTTGTTTGGGTCATACAGTAAATATTTCTGGACATAACAGTTAACATTTGACACTTTTACAGGTCAGGAAATAAAGATCACAATCTGGAAAAGCATACCATGTCAGCATAAGAAGCAGCCATGTACTGCCAGATATAAACATTTATACATCAAGAATATTAATACATCTTATTATTAATACATCTTATTATTACCAACACCTGCCACTTCTGTAACTGCTGTCTCACTGCTTTCGAGCTGCCCACCGAGTGCATACAATTCACATATACACGAATATAGTACTTTTGAAACAGCAAAAAAAAGACCCGAGTGTTTTAGAAAAGAAAACATGTTTCTCGAAAAAAATACCTTGCATTGGAAACACTCGCGTCCACGGATCTCACGTCAACACTGTCAATACGTATTAATATTATTATTAATACGTGCTCATGTGTACCTTACATGCAACTTACTGCGCAAGCCTATCAGCGAGTAGACAGTGCTGTTCAACCTACCCTATGGGCGGGTCTCAACGGTTAATTCGCTGTTGCGCCGCTCAGGCACAGGCAGGAGAAGCAAAACGAGCCCTCATCCCTTCCTGTAGTTTGGTTGCGGAGTGCTGGCGCGCTGTTTAAACACAAGCTCCTAAAAAGCCGGGAACTGTGAGAGCTACATCTGCTTTAGAAGAGCTGTTTTGGGGGTATTTTTCTTCAGAGTAGAGAGAGAAAGCCAAGCTGCTTTGAGAGCGTAAGTCCGTTTTTTGTTCCCGATTTTTTTTAGATTGTTAGTTTTTATCACAAACGGGTTGTTTATAGTAGTAAAACCTTTGGCGAAAATTGAAAAGAGATGGTCAACAAGATAAACGCAATTTATTTTCACGTTCATATAACGCGATTGGTGTCAGGTATGTTGTGTTCCTGATAATATGATTTAGCATCATCTTATCGATTCATTCAGTTTTAATTACCTGAGGTAATAGTGGCCGAAGGTATTGCGTAACTGCAGATTTTAAGCGTGTACGTAGTTTGGAGGTGTAAAGACGCAGACCAAATAATCGCGCCAAACTAGCGCTAGGTACATCACACACACAACACTGGCTCGTAAGTCAGGGCTTCTCTGATACAGATCTGACAGACTAGCGTTTCAATTTTTATCTTCTGTAAACCCTTCAGATTAGGTTCATCTGACACATTTTAACATAAAAGGTTTAAATTTCCACGTTTATTCAATTAGGATAAAATCAGCTCAAAGGATACCTTTGACGTAAGTGAATGATCAGCACAATAACATTTTGCCAATATTTGTTTGGTCTTTTTCAAAGGCTGTATCATGTCAGTAAAGTCTCGTCTATAACTTTCAAGCAAAATATCGGCTACAAGAAAAAAAAAAGGTTCGTATTCACAAATGTGGTAGTCTTCCATGTCAGCTGATGTAAACAGTAACTGTATTTGCTGTTTTTCTTTTCCAATTTAGACCAGAAGAAAAAATGCTACCTTATGGTACCTGTGGTAAGAGAAAACTTAACTCAGTTGGATCTGAGAGGTGAGTTTCAGTGTTAAATCCTCTGGTTGCCCTTTGGCAGTTCATATTTGAGGGTTTTGGCATCAATCCTTATTTTGTTGACATGTGATTTCATGTCTTTTTCTAGTAATCCAGCAAAGAAGAAGATGTCAGAGTTTGGCTCTCCTATCAGAAGGAAGTCTCCTCGGCTTCTCAAGTCTCCCCTGGCACAGAAAGTTCAGGATTCAGATGATGGTGAAAAAGAAAATTACCCATCACCTCAAAAATCAGCTGCTCCCAGAGAAGGAGACTCTCCATTCAATTCTGCCCTAACGTCCAAAGGGTTTAATACGCATTCACCCCTAAAGGGTTCTCCGAAGAAGGCTTCCCCTTTTAAACCCTATTTAGGATCAGACTCTTTTTATGGCCAGAAAAAAGTGCTGTATCTTACGCCCCTGGAGAGGAAGCTGGTTAATGAAGGCAAACCCCCCAAAAATGAAAGGTGCAACCCCAAGACCAGCCCTCCTAAATCTGCAAGGGTGCCAAAACCAAAGAAACCTCCATTGATGAAAACTAAGGGTTCTGCTCCTGTTTCCAAAATGAGCATTAAGGATTACATTGGACCTAAAGAGGCCGGCTGCGATCTGAAAAAGAGTACTGTCAAGGAAGCCGAGCCGAAGACATTTTCATCCCTAGGTTTAAGTGCTGTGAAAATGAAACCCAAGCTCTTTGTTGGGGCTGTATTTTTTGCGACAGGAAGAAAAGCGAATGCAATGTACAAAAAGGCCATAGTTAAGTCCTCCAAGCCAGCACAGTCCAAACCTAAACCGGCGAAAGGACATGCTGAACCACAAAAACAGGCCCAGGCTATCGTTAAGCAGAAAGCAGTGGAGCAGCCAGAGAAGGTGGCCTCTTCTGTGCCGAAAGCCGTTTTTCCGAAAAACCACAAGGAAGACGCCAAGGGAAGTGAGGAGCTGAGGCTTGAAACCAAAGCTCCTGCAAAGCCGCCACAGCTGAAGGAGTACACGACTGGAGTGAAAGCATCCCAGACTGAGGCCGAGAAATATGGTCTGCATAAGGAGTTGAAGGTCGTGCTTAGGAGAATGAACGATAGCCAGTCCAATCTAGAAGCCTTGTCAGATGCCCCGAGCGCTGAGGTGAGGATTATGTTTAAGATGCAATCATCTTTAACGGACACGTCTTTCCCCCCCCTTTTTTTTGTAAGTTCGTTTGTTCAATTAAAAGTGGTGTAAAATCACGATTTATACGTACAAGATAAGCAAGGCTTTAGGTTGCCTTACTAATTATGAAACAATTCAGAAATGTTTTGATGCATTTGAATGCGATCTGAAATGTATGTATTTACATACAATCTGATGTATGGATCATCTCACTAGAGTCAACAGTTTGCATACCAAATTAGAGCACATGTTTTGAATCATGTTGTTCCCTCTCATTTCAGGACTGCAGTGCTACAGATCTTGGATCTCTGACTGTCTCTGATTTGAGTGACATCAGCTCTCTAGGTTCAGAAAATAGTGCAGAAAAAGGTAAATGCTCTGGAAAAGGGGCATTTAAGATAAAATCAGTCACAAGTAGGAATAGATTGCAGTCAGTGGTGCTTGTTATTTGATATATTTTGTTAGGCACACACCTTGTTGCTGCAGAGTACCATCGGAAAATCTTTTGTATGTTTATATGCAAAAGTTAGATTAATTTTTTTTACTGCATTTTACTGTGAATTTTCATTTAGTGATCTCTGCCTATACTAATGAATGTGCTGGTTTTGTGGCCTTTTTATATATGTTATTTTTCTCTGTGTACACCACCAGAATGTACATCAGAAAACTTAATATTTGAAAAACCTTTGTGTACATTTCACTTCAAACCTTCCATTAATGTTAAAACCTTCTAAGGATAATTTCTGAGAACTCTTTTTACTTGAATACTTAACACAACAACTATTCTGTTGAGAAATATCAACTGCAAATTGTCTTCTCAAGGGTGCTTTTTTGAGTGCCATTTAAAATTGTTTACGAACATGTTTATCCACAAGTCGAGAGCAGGGGTCTCCAGCCCTGGTCCTGGAGAGACCCAGTAAGATAATAGACTGTTAGAGTTAACTTATAAAACAATTAAGCTGTGATCAATTTAACAGTTGGAGTGTTTCAAAAAAATAATTTAGGGATCAACTGGAACAAAAATTTAAATATCCTTCACCCTTCAAGGACCAGAGTTCCTGTCATTAAAACATTGCTTTCTTGATCAATTGCTTAAACATGTGTTCTTAACCTTTATATTATAGATGATTTATGACCTCTTAGATTAATTGGATTGGGTCTCTCCGAGACCATAGCTCCATAGTTGGAGAGTCCTGACCTAGAGTATGATGCGGAGTCTGAAGCAGATGGTCATGCGGGATATTTGTACCATGGGCGTAAAAGTACAATGGAGAACTTTAAAATGTCTCTGTGAAGGAGTGTTCATTTTATTATGGAAGCTCTGTACTTGAAAAACATAAGTAAAAATCCATAATGCTGCTTCATTGCTTACAGGATATGCTTTCATTGAACTTATGTGGACAATTTGCCTCAATATTACTGACATTCAAGCAGCACTTACTGTTACTCGGCTTTCTCTGTTCTTCCAGTGTCTCCGTCGGTGTATCCCATCTTCACCTCTCCCAGCTCTGCTACCAGGAGGTAAATAGCTAAGATTTGTAATATAATTACTACAATGGTACAGAAAGGTTGTTTGAACAGATGAGAGTGTAGTTGTTGCTCAATGGCTATTCAGGTTGCTGTAGAACACCCCCAAGAAGGGAATTAATAAGTAATTGCCTAAACCACAAACTGTAAGTATTCAAGTATTTCTTCTGAATCCTCCCCCTTTATATAAAGATCTCTAAGGAAATGTGGTAGTTTCTTAAAGGTCAGTAATTCCTTGTTGGTCACTGAAGGTGTGTGACCTATAGCCACTGGTTATCCATCACTGTGTTACTTAGTACTTGTACACATGTATAAGGCCTCCAGCTCTGTGGCTGATCAGTTCTTAACTCTACACATCGGTTGACCTCTTCTGGTTACAGACAAAGCATAGTCTCTAACCACCCTTTTCCTGTTCCTTAGAAAAGGAGCCCGGGCTTTGCCTTTGAACTGCAGCACCCCTACTGCTGCCACACCTGCTCTGCCCATGTCGGCAAAGCTTCAGAGGAACACGAAGAGGAAGAAGGAGCTGGAGAAATCGTCCACGGACCAGCTCATCATTGTATGTAAATGGTCTAATCCATTCATATCATGTCTCCTGCACTCTAGACCCCATAGTACTCAAATATGGTACATTGCAGTGGATTGAAACTGAAGGTTCTGGGCACAACCAGCTCTTAAATGAGTGATTAATTGGAAATTACTTTGATTCTGTATTAAAGAGCTAGGTTTACCGAAGAGCTACACTGGACTGATTGATTTCTCCTCTGTGAGCAGGGGGCAGTGTTTGTGTTGAGAAGAACTTAAGATTCAAAATATCTTTCTGCCGTGACATACTAACAAATCTGTGGTTTAATCATCAATCACTCTCCAAAGCTGGAGGCATGGTGGGTGTCCAGGTTAGAGTGCCCTGTCAATGTTTATGGGAGAAATTTAGGTGCAGGTTTAGAGGGGATCGCCAGTGTTGCATGTGAGGTTCATCCACATATAGAGGATTAGCTTCACCATGTCTTTATTATCTCCACATCCGCCAAAACCTCACAGCACACCAGCAGGCAAGTAATTCAGATCAAGCAAAAGAACGGTCATGTGACTTGGGGATTTCAGTGCCTAGCAGGCTCCAGAGGGTTATGTCATCATATGATGTCAGTGTGACAGGCTCACACTGAATGAGCCTTTCAAATAAGGGATCTCGTCTTGCCAAGCAACTGTACTTGGATGTTCGCAATGTTCTTCTTCGAGAGACTGGTAGGTATTTATCTGTACTAGGACCAAATTAAGCAGTATACAAGCTGTACATGTAAGATGCATGCTTTGCATCAGGTTGTAGAAGCTGTCTTGGGAGATACTGTCCCATGTCTCAGGCATAGATAAACATCTGTTTTTTCACCACTCTTTGAGCCTAAGATATCACGTATCCTATTTTGCTACTTTAAAGTGTTCTTCAAAAATAAACTGCATTGTTACTTACTCCAAGTGACCTTTCAAAAACGAAATCATCTGTGCTAAAACTAAATTTTAGATTTTTCTTTTTGTAAGTGGTGCGCTGTATAATTGGGAAAACAAATTATGCTAACCCTGTTTTCATGGCAATGAAATATTACTAAATATTATCTTATATTATTATACTTCATTCTTACTGAATGCTGGTGGTCAGTTTTTCATGTTTTTAGCTAAGACTTTTTTATTCAAATCCACTATTTTGACATTGTATTAAGTTGGCATGCTTTAGAGTCGCCACTAGAGGGACTCACAATACAGTGTGAAGCACAGGTGCAGCTGGAATAAAATGTTAAGTACTTGACAAAAGAGCAGAAGAATGCATAAGCTGAAAGAAATGCCCATTCCACCTCCTTTGTGGAAATACTGTAATGTAGAAACTTGATGGGCTTTCTCATTTAATCTGACTACAATAAATTACCCATGCTGCTCTGCCATCCAAGTCTGATTTGAAGGGATCTTGGTGTTTTTAAAGTCAATTTTTTTTCCTCTAGGACGCTGGCCAGAAGCAGTTTGGTGCCACCACATGCAAATCTTGTGGCATGATCTACAGTGCTGACAGTCTTGAGGATGATTTTCAGCACACGCAGTTCCACCAGCGCTTTCTGGACAGCATTAAGTTTGTGGTATAGTTTGAGGGAGGGGGGGGTTACCTGTTTATTTTCCTTTGTTTTATTTACAAATATATAAATAGTGCCACAGCTGCCTCCTGATCTTTACAACATGTAGAATTGTTGTTGCTCTCGACAATTTCACATAATAGAAGGGTCTCACACACAGAAAATCTGTGAACCTCATGAAAAGGAATGAGAAACCTCTGTATGAACTGGAAAAATTATCCCTAATTTCAAAATTCAGATTCTCCCTGTTAGCATAATCACTGGCAGTTTGCATCTGAATTAAATTAAGTATAGTCAAGAACATGTCTGAGTGTGGCAGTGAAGTGATGTTTTTCTTTAAAATAAAATGTTTTTTTTGTAGTCAGAGGGGCACTGTGAGTGCTTGATGAGGTTGTTGTGATATCAGTGTGCCAATGTAGACTATGGCTCTCTTGAAACAGTTCTAGATACAGATGTATAAGATGATCTTTACTAACGTGTAGCATTTACAATATGCTTAGATGCATTAAAAATGCATACAAATGAGAATTTCAAATCGACAGCCATTGCTATGTTTTAAAGTACTGTATACAGTATATGAGGATACATACTACATATCCTATAATGGTATAGATTGTTTCTGATCAAATCAGTGTTAAGGAATAAAACAGTCATGTAAACTTTTTTTTTGTATACCTCATTGAACTGTAGATAATGATGCCATTTACTGTAGATTCTACCTACTAATGTGGGCAAAATGCTTAATGAAATATAATTGTTCTTGAATTGGCAGTGAATGGGAAAAGAAGCCACAAAGTGTGTTTTAAAACTGCTTTACAAGCACCTGCTGTATTGCTTTCTGAACCAGATCCCAGGACAGGACTGGACCTGGTTCAACTGGTGCATACTCATAAACGACAGCATAGACATGTTGTTGCTTCCTTTTTTTTCCCATTTAGGGTTGGAAGAAGGAGAGAGTGGTTGCTGAATTCTGGGATGGAAAAATTATCCTTGTTCTCCCAGATGATCCTAAGTATGCTGTTAAAAAGGTATACACAAGCGTTTTCATCTTTTTTGTGTCCTCTGTTATTGATTCTCCAGAGTATGTGCCTCCGGTTAAGATTCTGATACCCTTTATTCTTATCTTAAATAAGAAATCCTAGCCTGAGGCCTCTAGCTATTTCTGATGCAAAAACATCTTAACCGCTGAGAGGTCCTGTATTTTATGTATCACAATGTTGATCATCTTATGGTTAAGTTGAAAGGCATTGGAGTTAACATTGCGACCTCGTCGGACTAATAGCTGTGAACATGCTGGTCTCTTCAGGCAGAGGAAGTAAGACAACTTGCTGACAATGAGCTGGGGTTTCAGCAAGTCTCGCTCAGCTGCCCCAGCAAAACCAAAACCTACTTGTTTGTGAACAACAAGAGGATGATTGTTGGATGCCTGGTTGCAGAACATATAAAACAGGTAAGGATGAGTTATATTGGGAAACTGTTTATAGTCAGCCATGCAGAATCTGGTATTAGGCTTCTTCAGTTTTTCTGTCATTCCCTCCAGCCCTGCTTTCCTGTCAAGCGTATATTTGCAGTGTGCACATTACTACTGCAGTGCCTATGTTAAATGAGTTGCTTAGTTTCAATTGCATTGTGATGTCAAATGCTGACTATAAATGATTGTGCACAGTACATCTAAAGGTCATTTTGCCTTCAATTTCAATTTCAGTTTTATTTGTATAGCACTTTTTACATTGGACATTGTCACAAAGCAGCTTTACAGATTTCCCAGCCTAACCCCCCAGTGAGCAAGCCTAAGGCGACAGAGGCAAGGAAAAAGTCCCTAGACTAAAGTGGGAAGAGACCTTGAGAGGAATCAAGGCCCGAAAGGGGGGAGCCTATCCTCCTCTGGCTGGCACCAGGTTAAATTAGAATGAACACATATGAGAGTCGTCTGTATTCTATTACATGGTGGGAAAAGCACAATATTGTATGATAATGTCCAACAGTGTCCCGGAATGTTCAATTGGTTTCCTTCAGTTGAGATTTCTCTGGAAAGGGCTTTGTAGAGGACTTTCAATGCAAGCTGATGTGGCAGTGTCCGGACAACTTTCAGAATGGTCGTCTGCAAACCGTTTTGGCTAGATTGAACCATAGAAATGGCAGCAGGGTGAGGAAACTTTAAATTCTGAATCTTTAATTATAGACATTGCTTTATTGTATTAGTTCTCTCATCTGCCATCTCTTTCTCTGTATTCAAAGTCCTGGTCCAGAGCAATGCAATGTGCATGAGATGTTCAAGAACCCATATCTTGTGAGTGTGTGTCTCCCCTGGTGTAAAAGAAGTGTCTACACTTCTTTTAACTAAAGAAGGCTTTCTTCTGAATTGTCATAGTTTTTTTTTCTATTTAGGAATAGTTCTTAAACTACTTTGGGCTTTTAGATAAAGGAATTGATCAAGTGCATTACTTATTGCTTCTGTCTGAGTCCACAAGCCAGGTCAATGAATATTCCTGGTAAAATAACCAGTGGTGGTTTTACAGGCATTCCGAGTGCTGGAGAATTCGGGGAGTACGAACAATGTGACCAAGCATGATTTTATGGAACATCACAGGGCTTGGTGCTGCTCCACACAGGCTGAAAAAGCGATCTGTGGAGTGAGCCGGATCTGGGTGTTCAGCTTGATGCGCAGACAAAAGATTGGCACCCGCTTGGTGGACGTTGTCAGGTAGGAGCCAGTGCTGGCGGTGTCTGGGGCTGGCCGGAGATCACTCAGTTGCAGTGTGTTCTCAGCATTGCCTTGCCAAAAAGCATTAATGCTCTCAGGAGTACATTTGTTTGCTTGTTTCCTGGAGAGAGTTATTGTATGAATAAGATGGTGTGCACGACAAAGTGCATTTCCTTATATTTCTTTAAAAAAAATGTTTCTGAATTTCTATAATATAGCATTTCTTAATATTTTTGGTGGTATAACACCTGTTTCTTTTGTTCTAGCTCAAGTGTGTTAGGTGAAATATCTTTTTAAAAGACATGTCCATAATAAGTGTCCTCTGTTTCAGAAACACCTTTATGTATGGAAGCCTCTTGACTAAAGAAGAAATTGCATTCTCTGATCCTACACCAGATGGAAAACTCTTTGCTACAAAATACTGTGAAACACCAGCGTTTTTAGTTTATAATTTTATTTAAATGTATACTTGTTCACAGACTACATGACAAAATGCTGATAAAGAGTCCGTTTTAATTTCTGAAACCAGTTCTTTGTATGGCATGTTTAGTTTTTGCTGCAAAACATTAAACAGAGAAAAGGTAATTTTGCATTTAAAATCAGTTTGTCAATGGTTTAGTGTTTGAATTAAAACAGCTGACAGAATATAGATATGTTTTTAGATTGAGAACTACAGATTGTCTTGGCTCAGTGTGATCCTTTTGCACAAGTTTTTAAAAGATAGAA